ACATCACCAACACTACACTGATACATCACCAACACTACACTGATACATCACCAACACTACACTGCGATACATTACCAACACTACACTGATACATCACCAACACTACACTGATACATTACCAACACTACACTGACACATCACCAACACTTCACTGACAAATCACCAACACTTTACTGACACATCACCAACACTTCACTGACACATCACTAACGCTTTACTGATACATTACCAACACTTCACTGATACATCACCAACACTTGCCAACACTTCACCTACAGTCTGCCAATACAGTTGTTTGCAACTAAGCGTGAACATCAGACACTAAAACATGTTCTAACTGGCAGCCAAAATGTTGAAGTTAGTCGACCGGAATGTTGAGGTTTGGCACCAAAGTGCCAGCCTGATGGCAAGGTTTGTTCAAATGTGCATGCACATTGATCTGTTGGTGTTAGTCATGGATTCCTTCCAAAGAGTAGACATAAGAGAGTTTCTAGAAGAGATTGATCCTGATCTCCTTCAGTATTCTTCACATTTTCAAAAAAAAGGCTTTACTTAAAACAAAAGCATGAAGTACTGGAGAGAAAACGATTTTGATTCTTTCGAGATTGAAGTACCTGAAGGAATTGCACGCCCAACCATCCAACAAATCATTACGAAACGTACACGTTCCGGTTGACTAACTTCAATGTTTCGGCCGCCAGTTAGGATATATTTTAGTGTCCGGTGTTCACGCTAAGTTGCAAACAACTGCATTGGGTTGATTTTGGCCAGGCATAAAGTTCATAATTTCCCTTGCATTTGATCCAATGACCCTCAGTTTTGAGGAGTAGGTAGGACAATTGTAGGAGTTAATTAAATGAAACTAAAAGGTTTTGTTATTTATTTTTACAGGTGGAAAATATATGCTTGATATTGTTATTCCAGAAACATATCCTTTCAATCCACCTAAGGTATGTTGTTTTTATATGTAACTTAAATTCCCCAGGTAAGGTTGAGTGTGTGTGTGGGGGGTTCTAGGAGTCACTTATTAGAGAGGATGGCTTATGGATTTAATGAAACTAAAATATATATCATCCAGAGATTATAGTGATGTTATATGCACAATTTGTACAAGTTATTTTCATTATTTTGATTCAATTGTGTGAAGGGGGCTTAATGAATTTCTTCCTCTAAAGAGTGGGGCTTATTAGAGAGAGACAGGAGGGTTTACAGTGCAACTACTGTAACTGGGGCGACTTACACCACTTAGACAAGATTATACGAAAGAACCAATTAAAATGTAGAATGGAAACAATGCATTCCAATTTTGGGTAGTAAAGCCAATCAGAAACCTAGACTGCACGAAAATGGTAACTTGACCCTGATGTTATATGTAAACAACTAGATAGCCATTGTCATTTTCTCAGGGGAATTAAAAGATGTTTAGAAAGGTTATTGTTTTCTGCTGCTTTCTGTTATGATTTTTTTTTTTGCTTCTAAAGAGTCTGTTGCTCCTTATCGTAATTCTAACTTTATTATAATGACATATCCATCTATCCATTGAAGTAGATAATTGCAAATAAGGAAATCTCTCAAAAATGTACTTGTCTTGATTTACACTTTTTTATTTGTGATTTTTCTTTGTTAGGTGAAATTTACAACGAAAATATGGCACCCTAACATTAGTTCTGTGACTGGAGCTATTTGTCTGGATATTTTAAAAGATCAGTGGTAAGTCTAAGTTCTCAGTAGTCAGATGCTAGAAATGAAAATATATATCAAATGTTTAAACAAGATAGATACACCCTGTAGTCTGAGGGTATTTACTGGCCAGGAGTTCTGGATAGGGAAAACTGTGCCCAAGGTCTTCAAAAATATATGGACCAACGACATATACTATCTGGCCAATCACAGTATTAGGTAACTTGCAATAACACACCTTTATGGTTTTTTGCATTATTACTCTAATATCTGTAAGTAAAATGAACCAATGCAGAATGCATAATATGATACTATTCATCTACCAAACTGCTAATACATGAAGCATACAAATTCAAAAGTATACCAATGTTTTTGAGTTTGTATCATTAAAACAATTCTATTATTTTCATAGGGCAGCAGCAATGACTTTAAGAACAGTTCTTTTATCTATCCAGGTAGGCCATCCTAACAGCTGAGTGTTGGTTGATTGCCTGTACTCAGCAACTACAGATTGATACTTGTAGATCATGTTTGATCAAAGCCAAAGAGGCTTTATTTTCAATGATCATTTGAAAACTTCTCTAATCTAATATCTCAATAATGTTTGCTGGAATTTTTGAATTGATGGTATATCTTTGAAGTACTAATTAAAACATGAAAATACATATTTCTTTAGAACATTTTTGATCAAAGGCAAGATCTCATTATTTTGAAAGTTTGATTTAGTTATATACCAAAAGAATCATTTGTCGGTGCACTTTTGTTATTAGGAAAAATATTTAAAACACTATCAGTTTACAGCTGGACAAAAGGCCATATCAAACCATCAATAACTATATATAATTATAGTAATTTTAATAATTAAAAAGTGTTTGAGCAGCTTTTTGAAACTTAAGTAGTAGGCCAAATGATAAAAATCATGGTCAATCATCAGTGTAAACTTATTGATCTTGGTGGATATAGTCTTGCTTGAGCAAGTACAATTAGTCAACACATCAGTCCACTGTTTATAGTCCACTGCCGCTAGCTGTCATTCTCAATTGATTGATCACCCCATCATGGTCAATAGTGATAGTCACTCAGCTGCATGGGTAATAAATTAAGCAAAACATCTTCATTCTTAAAGAAACAGTCTGAACTAACCATTGCAGAGCTTACATGAAGGTTTTGAAATGGCTTCTGATTAATATAATATGTAGTTTTTGTTGATTTTGACATTGTGATGCAGGCATTATTGGCATCCCCAGAACCTAACGACCCTCAAGATGCTGTAGTCGCAAAACAGGTAAGATTGCACTGTACTTTGTCAGGAAAACAATGTAAACATACAATACACAACATTGAGAATTACAGTTGGAACTTGTAGATAAATTGAATCACCGTGAAAAGGTTGATAGAACTGACGTTTTGGACATTAGTCCTTTGTCAGAGTAAAGTAGAAAGAAAGGATGAGAAGGGGTGAATGAATACTAATTTGCAAAATAAAATGACCAATGAGAAATAAGCATATGAAGAAATGAATGAAAACAAAAGGATAAAAAAAACTATAAGTGAGAAATGGGAAGGGAATGATGACTAATTTAAAGTGAAGCGTTCATTCATCGCATGGGGACTGATGGTGTCGAGTGAGTGAATAAGACGCATTTCTAAAGTTTTGCTGGAATTATTACCGCCATGTAATAAACTTAAACCAAAAACAATTGTGTTAGATTCTGAGTGATTAGTGGAATTAAAGTGGCAGGAAACTGGTTTAGAAAGATCTTGTTTATGAATGTCGTAAAGACAATCTCTGAAACGATCACCTAGACGTCGGCCAGTCTTGCCGACATATAATGAATTGCAAAAAGAACATTATTTTAATACAGTAAACTACATTAGAAGAAGTACAATCAAAATGATCAGTTTTGGGGCCTTTAACAGAGGTATATGAAGAAATAAAAGGACAAGTATAGCAACATTTATGTGAAGCGCGAAAGGTGCCAGTGTTACTATCAGAGCAAAGAATACTCTTGCCACATTGGATATACTTCCAGTTATGTTGGGATCTCACTGCTAAGTCCACCTCAGTAGCTGTTGTTGCTGTTGACACAAAACTCTTCAAAACTATCAAAACAGCTGATTGATGAAGTTGCGGCACTCAAAGAAGACTTTAACAAACCTTATTTGAAGCCTGGTCCACTGCTGGTGATCTTTGTTTTAATGAAAGTAAATGTAAATCTCAAGCCAACACCTGAAAACACCTTTCACCCTAGAATCAAGCCAAGCCAAAAGAGAATTTTACTCCTAGGTAACCACAGATTACAGCTGGAAGAAATAAATCCTGGTCCAGTGAGTCAGCCAGTATATACTCTTGGGATATATATTTGTAGAAATACAAACAACATCCATAGCAAGGCAATCTTACTTAGGCTATGCAAGGCAGATCTGGGCACCCTAAAAGTACCGATTTGATCAGTACATTAGAGCAAGCTCAGAAGCTTATTGCTACAAAATAAATACCGAATCTGGCTTCAGTCATTGTCCTTGCTACCCATTGGTTACTGACATGAATACTTAGACAAGGTCTTTTTCGTTAAAGTAACTTGTGACTAATTACATTAAATCAGACGGTTGTCCCATGTAAACACTTCTTGCAATACACAAGATCATGTACTAAAATGTCAGATATTTATGAAGTACACTCTTTCCAAGACAACTCCCTTACTTTCTTAATTATTGATTAATGAATGTTATGTTAATTAGAACATTGAATGATTATTTAAGCCACACAAAAGCATTGAAATTGTAATTTTTTTGGTGGGAACCCAGCTGGTATAGAGAGGTTTCCTGTAACGTTAATGAGCATTGGGAAATGATTGTGCTTTAAGCCAGCTTTGTAGAAATTGGTTGTCATACCTGACTATTGTCCATCAAGTAATAATCACTAACTGCTCGTTATGTGTTTTACAGTTTAAAGAAAATATAAAGGCCTATAACATTACAGCAAGACACTGGGCACACACATATGCTGGAGGTAAAATCATAAATTAAAACACAGGGAGGCCAATTTAGTTTAAAGTGAATGGTGAAAATAAAATCAGAAAAACTAAATGATTAATTGTTTTTTAAATTCAAGGTCAAGATAATGTCCTCCATAATTCGAAAGAGTTAAAAGATCGATAGAAAAATGCACTAGAACATTTTTTTCATGCGTTTTTCAAGTGAAAAATTTTCAACTGTACTTTCCTCCCTTGTCAGAGTATATATACATAAGAGCGACATTAGGTACCATAGGGGACAATTACATAGGAAAACAAAGGTATGCACAAAAAATAATGTTCTAGTGCATTTTTCATCAATTTTTTTTGTATTATAGAGGATATTATTTATCTTGACCTCGAATTTAAAGAAATTATTTAATTTTTCTGATTTTATTTTCATCAACATTCACTTTAATCTAAATTGGACTCCCTGTGATTAAAATTGATTAACTTATATCTTCATTGTCATTTTTGTTAGCATAATTTGCAGAAGTAGGTACAGTGACAGAAAGGTGCAAAACTTTCTTTTATAGAATCTGATATTTATTAGACTCAATCAATAAATACATAAATGAATAAAATACTGGTAAATTGACATTAATTGTTGAAGCATAAGTCGCTGGGGGGTATTCTGGGTAGTTGATATCCCGGTCCTTCAGAGTGTTTGCATACAGAAACATGCATAAAAAGTGACAAAATGCTTTGTTTAGTAATTACTTGAATCAGTGTTTTAGAGCTGCAAATCTGTGATATGCATAAGTCTCATTACCTTTACCCAGAACACCCTTCTGTCTTCAATGTTTATTCAATTTGTCATAGTTTCAGTAATTTAGATAATGGAATGATTTATTTTACATTCTATGTGATTGTTATAGATAGTACTGATATAAATGAATTGTCAATTGGATTATATGATTATGAGCCATCATAATTCTTGTGCATTCATATATTTTACAATATGTCCATGTAGTGCATTTGCATTGCGAGATTAAATTTCAAGGTTTTTAAAAATTAACTTTTGTTTTTCCAAGAATATTTTAACATGCTGTTTTTTTTTAGCCGATTCACCAGTTCAAGAATGTGATCGAAAGATTAAACAACTCATGGAAATGGGTTTTCAAGAGGTAAATACATTGTTTGTAGTAGTAATAAGTTATGCGTTTGGTGTGTATATAATGAAGTAGAGAGAATAAGAGAAAAATATCAAATGCCCTTGGCAGGATTCGAACCCACGTCTTCGGTATTCTAGTCCGATGTGTTAACCACTACACTAAAAGGACCAACCACGCTGGTAACGCAGCCAGAATATGAAATGTAGGGTCGTCGTGAGGATCCCAGAGCGATATTTTTTCTCTATAGATAAGTTGAACACCGTAAATATGTACGCAAAGATTAGACATAGTATAGTAGTAATAAGTTATGCGTTCGGTGTGTATATAATGAAGTAGAGAGAATAAGAGAAAAATATCAAAAGCCATTTGGTATTTTTCTCTTATTCTCTCTACTTCATTATATACACACCGAACGCATAACTTATTACTACTTATTACTACTATACTATGTCTAATCTTTGCGTACATATTTGCGGTGTTCATTTGCGGTGTTCGAATCCTGCCAAGGGCATTTGACATTGTTTGTAGGACTTATTTATCACTAAGTGATGTTGTGACTTGATGTTTGAAGTAAGAACAATCTGCATTAAAAATCAACCTTTTTATCATAGTATAAAATGCAGTCACTCATCAAAAATTAAAAATCTTTTTTTTTCTTTTTTGGCCTGTCTGGTTGGGATGACAGGTTTGTAAAACATTAGAACAGTCATTTGTTTTAATCATCTTATGTTTTTGTTCTTTTATTCAGAGCCAAAGCAGAGTTGCACTGTCTACATATTCCTGGAATGTAGAAAGGGCAGTGGAGTCTCTATTTAATAGTAACAGTACTTAACAGTACTAGTATGAATACTTTACTAATAGATTTGCATTTCACTCTTATTGACTGGGACCCAGGAAATTAGTGTATCTTGTGGTCTCAAGACAAGTTCTCTGTCAATAAGGTGTTTTGTTATGCACCAACGGCACCAGCACACCAATTGTCAAAAAACACAAAAACCATTATGGGATTTTTTAAAAACTTAGTTTTCAGTGAAATGACTTTTGGTTATCAATTACGTGGCACCCTCTTGGCCAATGAAAAGAGAGAAAAATGATGTTTTACACTTTGTATCTAGCAATATAGCCTTTTTTCTCAAGTTTGCGTGCCCCTCCCAATTTAAGAAACTTGATGGGCCATGATACCAGAACAGGAGCTTTATGAGGATTATCATTTGACGATTTTTTTGATAAGAATTCATAAAATGAAATATTCTCCTCTTTAAAACTGGCTTCTCAATTTCACTGAATTTGTGTTTTTCAGTTTAATGTGGCCCATCAAGATTGTATGTGTATGCAACCTTGAGAAAACAGTCTATTAGATTTATCTCACATTAATTTTATCCAGGAAATGTGCTCAACTTAAAAAAACTAGGATGAAGTTTTTTGAGCTAATGAAAAATTACAAAATGTTCTGATGAGTTATTACCTTTTATTATTGGTATCATCTAGCCTTGTAAAGTATTGAACACTGATAAGAGTTTTTACAGGTGTGAAAATCTTTGACAGTCACGTATCACCACTGATCATGGGTGTCAGGAGACCTGTTGGGTTTACTAAAGTGGTTCTGAGTTAACTCTTGAAACAAAGCTTATTTTCTAGAGTACAATAGTAATACTTACACCAACATTTATTTCACAGGTTTATGAAAATGACTCTATCCCACGTATCACTCAGGAGTGCTTGTTTACATCATAGCTGCCATGTTGGTTGATGATAACAAAGCAATCCTCATTAGCTTTTCATTTTAGATCAACCAACAAGAAGGTTCTTTCATTGTTATTTATATCTCAAAGAAGGGATTTAAATCAAGTAGTTGCACTTTAAGAATTCTACAGATTTTGATAGTATTGCAAAATATTAACTAAGGTTGCTGATAAAATTCTATTTCACAAATATCCCTGTCTTGAGGAAAACAGCTCTCGTAATCACTAAATCACTAATGAAATACACTGAATAAAGTTGCTGAGTATAACCATAGTTAATGGAGCAGAATGGTTAGGAAACCTATTGTTCTATGTTTTTGTTCGTTTTTATCCATTGTTATATGACGTTGACAGTGCACAGTGAAGGAAAAGTTTCTCCATTTGCTCACAGTATTAGGGAATGTAAAAGTTTTTTCCCCTTAAAAATCGTTCTAAATTATCTATTGTTTGTTAATTAATTCTATATGATTAATATTAATTGTTGATTGAAAATGAAATTGCCCTTTTTAATGCTTTTTTATTTATCATCTAGTAACTTAACTGTATCTGCGTGAAAATATTTATCTGCATAGTTTGTGGTCATCAAATGGAAGTTTTCACTTTCAAAATGTTCATAAATGAAAATAATAAGGAAATGAGCATTTTCAGCCATACTTGCTTTGGTCCATTATGCACGGTCAGTATCACGTGATGGTACAATTCAACATCAAAGGCAAAGCAATAGCTTTGTTCTATGGAGTTTCCAAACCATTCCACTCCATTAACTATGGTATAACTTTGCACTGTGTAGTGTTATTAAATAAAATTTTTATGAATTGCTTCAGACACTTTTTTGCAAGTTATGTTCTTGGATAGTCCCACAGAGAAGATCATTCTTAGCAGCAGATACTCATGACAAATTCCAATAGCTTTTCATGCTATGTCCTCTTATTTAACAGCTTATTTTTTATTTGATCACACCAAAAGTCCTTAGGGTAAGATTACTCTTGTGTAGTGGAGGTTCAAGGCCCAACAACGATATCCCACACGACTGACCAGGGTGATCAGAACGATTGAGAGGGGTTCATCACTTGTGACACTGGTGTAAAAATGCCATTATCCAGGATCAAATCCTCTATCTGCACAATAGGTTAATAGTAATTTATGTAGTTTTCATCAATCCTTTATTACAATAATTGTAATAAATGATTGATGAAAGCTACATAACCTATTGTGCAGATTATTAGGTTCTTTTCTTCTTCCTCTTTTTATTTTTCTTTGTTGCTGATGAAATTGCTGTTTGCTTTTCATTGGGATTTTTCACAGTGTTTGGGTCAGTCACAAGTGGAGTTTCGAGGGTAGGACTGAAATAATAATACAAATTTTAAAATTTACATTTCTTTAGGTTATATAATTCAATAAAAAGAAAAAACAAAGGAAGCCCAAGCATTAAAAGCTGTACCTGTGTGTTCATTGTCTGTGAGCATAATTGCTCTACACCTAAGAGCCCTTTATAATTATTCTTACTGCGTTAATGCTTAACAAAATGGCTTTCATCAAGTTTGTGCAGGGAGGCTCTGGGAGCTTATCAGTCATTTTTACCATTCCCTGTTAGCAGTTCAGTTAATTTTAACCAGTTAAAAGTTCAAATTAACTGAAACAGCTTAGTAACAGCATACACACATATAGTTAAATCCCAATCATGAACCCTAGGCTTTTACAATTTCATAACATATCATATAACCTGGGGTAGGGATATTTATAAAAGGGAGAAAAAACTGTCTGAAATCCTTTGTATCAATTTTTTAAATGGTGTCCATTTTATTTGAATACTTTTCCTGCATCAATAGTTGTAAAGGCTTTGTAATGCAAATGTGCTCAGAAGAACTATAATCATTGGAGCAGATTGTCTTGATTGCTCTATGGGGCTGCAAGGCTGGTATTCAATTCACCTTTTTTGCGCTAGCTTGGATTGTGTTACGGTCACCAAAAAGTTCGGACATCGTTCTCGTATTTCCATACAAATTCACTGACTTTAAAGAGAAAATTTAGGTAGATTTCTTTAGTTAGCTCTCTTAACAGCAGTAAGAAAAGCTTCAATCGAGCTAGAAGAATGATCATTTACTTGTATTTAGAGAACTAACTAAACATTGAAGGGGCACTTGGATGAAAATGGATAAAATTGGAAATGACTTTAAACTTAATTAAATGTATCTATATGGCCCCAATTGTAGCCAAGCAATATATTTTCTTCACAGTGAAATGTCTCAGATAAAAATTATCAATTTTATTTAGCATATAAATTGTGAGTAAATGACGTCATTTACTGAACCCTATTGTTCTTTTCTCTTTTAACCCAAAATATCTCAACAGCAAGTGGCTCCCAGGCTAAAATTTTCACTAATCTGGTTTACATGATCATAATTGAGTCTAATTATCCTCAAATACTTCAATTATTCAGACTTTGAAAAATTGGGGTGTTTTCATCCAAGTGCCCCTTTAACCAAGTAAATAGTTTGTTTAGAGTCAGTACATTTGTACAGAAATTCGAGAACAAAGTCAGAACTTTTTGGTGACCGTAACACAATCTAAAACAGTTTATACCACGTGACGGCTAGTGCCAAAAAGGTGAATTGATGGAGGGAGTTTATTACCGGGTAAGGGGCTTATGATTGACAAGAAATTTCCATAAGCAGACAGATGGCTTAAAATCGGGGGTTTATAACTGGGATTTTATGGTAGTAGATAAAGAGCCTGGGTGTCATGTGGAATAATAATGGGGTAATAATGGAATTAGAATAATTCTCTGTTGGTAGAGCCTAACAGAGATAAAAATATATCACCCTGAATACTGGTGTGCAAGTTTGCATATGTCTTGTGATACATCTCAAGAACCTTCAACATTATCCCAATTACCTTTTAGTGGAAACTTTCTCAGAAGTCAGAATTACAACATCTTCCTCCTCACTGTCCTCGTCAGAAACAACTTGGGCTACAAGTTCCGAATAAGAAATGGAAACATTAAGATTGCATCAACTTATTTTTAAAATGACAATAGAGTACAAACACTATCTATAAGTGTGTAACATAAATACCACTAAATACTTCTAAATTATGCTAATCCTATTGTTTTCTATTGTTTAATTAGCACTATTTACTACTAAATAGTGCAAAGTGTTGCACACTTTTATTTCGTGTTTGTACTCTAACTATAGCTGTAGACTAGGCAGACTTCTTTTCCATTGTTAAGTCATAATATATCTACCAAGTGCATATGCTAAGATCAAGCAAAGTTTCAATCACCTGAAGTTTGAATACCTGAAAAGTTTTGCAGTTTAAAATTATAAGGATTTACACAAGTCATCATGTTTTACCAGTAGTATGCACATTTTAAATGCTTTGCATGCTTATTAATTTATTATAACTTTTCTTTTCATTTGCCTCTATTCATTAAACATTTCAATAATGCAAACTAGGATAAAAGAGTGTTTACTTTTTGTCTCAAACATAGGTGACTTTGAAACTGCTGCTTTTTCTTCATCAGATTCAATGATAATGAGGTCTTCTTGTAAGCTGCTCCATGTGTTTTCTCCTCCGTGTCCAATCTGAGCAGTACCAGGACCCTGAAAATACAATAATGCACTTTTCCCTTAATTACAGTACTTGAAGAAGTGATGGTACAAGATTGAAATAGTAAAATTTTAGTTTATTTAACAAACACACACACACACATCTAGAGGCAACATTTATAAAAAATTAAATTAATCAAGTTTCTGTTGACTGCATGTTGAGAGACTCGAATAAACCTCTTTACTTACAGGAACCTTCAGCTCTGAATGCCAGTTACTACTAGGTTTAAGTTAAGTTAAAGGAAATACAGTATTTGATGATTTATTGATATAATATTCTTATTCTATATTATATTCTTATTCTATAAATAAATATAAACACTCCTTTCTACCACCTCTCTCTTTTACTCCGATGAAGGACTAGAGTCCAAAATGTCAGTAAGTTTTTTCATCTTTTCAAACTGTATAATTTACCTTTTTATCATTAATATTAGAAGAATCCAATGCAGTATAGAATATTTTGGCAGCTGGCAAAAAAGCCCTTTTTTCATTTTGTTTAATTTCTCATTTTCTCATTACTTTCTTAGTAATTGAATGCAATGAGCAAATAAAATTAAAATTGGATTAAATGAAAAAATAAAGGCTGGAAAGAAAAGGCTAAAAGGAGTAAACGATTTTCTCTCACACTAGAATTCAAAGGATACTTTTGTTCACCTAATGACCTACATGCCTTCTTGCTTTGCTCTGTAAAAAGAGAGAAAAGATAAAATGAATCTTGAAGGTAAGGTACAGCACTATTCTGTGCATGACTTGGGATTCATTCATAGAACTCCAGCAGTTATTTATTGAAAAGATGACATGACTTAATAGTAATCTTTATTTGGGGCATCTGCAAGTACTGTTTCTGCACACTCGGTTAGCTCTGCATTTCACGGCTAACAAGAGGGCTCAGAAATTTGTTACACTGTTTCTTTAGAAATTCCAAAGCCTCTGCCTGATAAAATGAAATGTTCCTGAAGGACACAACAAATCATAGCCTTGACTTCTCTCCTTCCTTCCTTCTCCTTCTCCTCTTCCTTCTTTTTCTCCCTTTTCCCATCCTATATCCCCTTCACTTGGGAGCCTTTATGTAGGCTACAATTTGAAAATATAAATGCAGCATTGAAAACATTTGAGTACATTTTATAATTCCATTTATGTTTGAATGAGGATAAGACTAAACACCAGCCTTAGATTAAACAGAGAGCAACAAAGAGTTGATTTTAAGAATTTTGCCAATTGTGTGATTTCACAAATTATTGTGGATGATTCACATAGAGAATTATAGGTCATTTGGGAAACCATTGCAGTTAGTGCAAAATAGCCTGTAGCAATATATTACCTGAGGCATTCTGTAAAGCATCTGTTAAGTCCATCTCTGTTGACTCCGTTATCATTGTCGTAATATGGTTCTTGGCTGACTCAAAGACCCCAACTTTACCAATCATTCTGCACATTAAACATCCAAAAAATGCAATGAACTCTGAACACTAGAAAATCACACAATAAGGAAATGTTCCTAATTCAAATAGACAGGTATTATTAATTTTAGACGCTTAAAAATTTCAAATCATAATTTCAAAAAGTTCTCAGATGCACATGTAGGACAGTACATAAATACAACGTACAAGGCATGTCTTAATGGCTAAATGTATTTTCTCCCTCTCCTAATAATACGGAAAAATTATGCCCCTCCCCACACAAACACACACTAATATACATGTCCATTGATAAGAATCAGAGGGAGTAAGCTTTACTTCATTTATTCATATGAACAGAAGGCAAGTTGCTCTCCTCCCTGATACTGTAATTGATTGATTGATTGATTGAAGACTTAATTTAATGAGGGTGACATGTGACAGTAATTTTGTTAACTGAATAACTTGTGGCCCTTGAGTTTTTTGTTTTTTGTTTGTAATACTGTAGTTTAACATGAATATAGAGATGCTATTAATTCAGAAGTGTTTGTTTGGTCACACTTGAGAATGCGAGACATGTTTATGTAAAAATTGATTTATACTATTCCAACATTTAGTTATTTATTGTAATAACATGTTTCATTTTATTATTTCAATTAGGGTATATTTGAAAATAAAAATAAAATAAATAAACAAAGAAATAACAAAAGGAAGAAAGGAACAAAGAAAGAAAATGAATGAATGAATGATAAAGAGATGCAGTGAATGAGCCATTACCTCTCTTGTTCATCTTCCTCCAAAGCATCTTTGATGAGTTGTGTTATTTCTTCCACTTTTACAACTGCAATTTTTGAACATCGAATAATCTGCAAGTACATCACGGTAAAAAACATTAATTCTATGTCTTTAAATTTTATATCATTTTGTTATTTTTTCATCTATTTTTCAGTTATCATTTTATTATTATTTTACATTTGAATAAAAGATAAAACACCTCAATGATCAGTTACCTGTTCAGTTTCAAGAGATACTCCCCCACCCATGACAGCACCACAGATCTCCCTGTGAATGTTCATTGCCATCATCATGTGACCATCCATAATGCTTTCTTCTTTGTCACTTGGATCAACTAATAGCAAACCACTAGCAAAAAATACAATTACACTTTTAGCTAGTCATTAATTCAAAATATTCATTCATTTGCACTGAGCATTGGTTCAATAAAATCACTGTGCATTCATTACCTGGGGGGTACTCCCTAAATTCGCTATACGGGTATGTGCCGCCAAACAGGGTATGGTTTTCATTGATTCTACTCTGGAATAGGGTATATAAAATCGCGCTCGCTCTGGGACAGGGTATATGAAATCACACTCTCTCCTCTCTGGAACAGGGTATCCATTTTTGCAATACCGGAACCGGTTATGATTTTCAGCGATCTTGCTCTGGAAGAGGGTATGAACTTCAGTGAGTAGTATAGGGAATGGGGGTTCCAGCGCAATCTCGACACGGGCAAGACCCGCGTCAAAAATCCACCTACGGACGACCCCCACTCCAAGTGT